AAAGCTCTTAAATTTATTTATTCTCTCTAACCATAGGGGGAGAGAGGGGGAGTATTTGGGCAAAAGAGAGAGAGAGAGAAGGGTGAGGTAGGTGATTAGAGTGTTTTTATGACTTTGAAAAGAATATTATTGTAATGGCTCTCTTATCTTACAATGTAAATTATACTTAATTATAAAATATAAATCATTAAATGAGAAAGGGAGGAAAGTCGAATATTAAGAGTTCTCCCCCATCCAAAGGTATTAAATTACCACTAAACTAAAAAAAATAGCTCTCACATACCTTTAGACCAATCAACTCCCATAAAAGATGGGTGAATACTAATGTTAATACTCTCTATTCCAAAATATAAGTCGTTTGATTTTTTATACATATTTTCAGGTAATATTTTTGTTTAATATACATATAATAATTAAAATTTTTTTATCAAATGAAACAACTAAATAAAAATTATGTATAAAAAAATTTAAATTTTCATTTATATACTCTATAAAAGTATTTCTAAATTTACAAATAAAAAAATCAAACCATTTATATTTTAAATCGAAAGGAGTAATCAAAGAAGTATTTGAAGTGTCATGATAATGCCAAAACTTTCAAAAATTCAAAAACACTTTTCAATCAGCGGCCTGAAGCCTCACTTACAATTCTTTATTAAGATAAAAGTATAACATACATTTTTGTAAACAAAACCCACCTGCATCATTCACTACAGTAGGCACGCACTTTTTTTTATATTTAAATGGCCATAGTTTTTTTTAAGTCAATTTTTATGTATTTTAAAATTAATTTTTTAAAAATAATTTTTAAAGATGCTTTACATTAACTTAATTAGTACATTTAAAAAAAATTAATTCTTTTTTAAATATCAATCTCAAAACTTAAATTTTAAATCTAATTTATAAAATTACCGTCACTTACTATTAGATTTAATTCCAAAGACACTCTTATTATTAGTATTTACATATACGATTGAGCAGCCTTGTTGATTTTCTTCGGGCAGAAGGTGCAATTCAGCCCCTCTACGTCCATTGTTGTGGCACATCAGCCCCTCTACCGAAAAGTAGAGCAAATCAGACCCTCCACTTGACAAAACCCGCAAATCAGCCCTTCTGCTGAAGATGACCTCATCAAATGTCATCTTTCCGTCCACATCTTGTTACTCCGTTACCAAGAAATGGCTTGGTGCTGATATGGCATTAGGTAGGTGATGTGGTCTATTTAAACTACAAAATTACTAAAGAATCCTCATCTACTTCCTTTTCTTTCATTCATCTTCTCTCTCCTCCTTTACATACTCTCTCTTCATATTGTAGATTTACTTTTTTTTTCAATAGTTTAAATTGAAATTTTCTTCAAATAAATCTAAATTTCAAAAAATTATTAAAGTAACCCTCAAAATATGAAAATATAAAAGTTAAAAAAAATTTCAAAATTAAAATCAAAACTTGT